TTACAATAGGTATACAAAATACAAGAAAAAAAAAATTATACTAACCCGGCCCGGCCCCTGGACCCGTAACCCTTACGGTTCATTTTTTACCCGGATGGACTCGAACCCCTTAAGCCCGGTAACCCTAACCCGTAACCGGCCTGGTTCGAAACCCGAACGGTTTCAACTTTTCCCTACCCGGCCCGGCCCGGCCCGGCCACCCGTTTAACACCCTTAGTTTGATTACCCTCGAGCCAAGAAATGCCTCAACTGATGTTAGAAGAGGATAACAAGATGATAAGAACAAGAAATAACAGTGTATTGCTTTTTGGTACGTATTACAATGTATTTTACAAATGATCAAACCTCCTTTTATATAATATGAGAGTCCTACACTTGATACAATTCTATAAAAGGTAACCAATCTCATGATTTGCTATTTAATTGGCATCTCCTTGATACGTGCCGAGATTTCCGTCGTGATCTCCAACCGATCCCGGATATTTTGGTCTTCCGTTATTTGGCTCGACAAAGTTCCCTCGTTCGGTCCTGGAGTCAGAGCTCAACAATTTAACTTCGTGCCTTGGTTCGATATAACCCGGGCTCGAGATCTGACCTGTCACGTTTCAGCCTCGCTGGTCATACAATGGACGAACTCGGTTTCAACCGTATACACACATATAAATTTTATCTCCTTATTTAAATCCAAAAAAAAGGGAATCACATTGAATTGTTTTAATTTAATTATCCATATAAGAAAAAGAAAGCTAGTTAATTGACTCACAAACTGAATAGATAGCACCCCTCAATTGCAAAAATCCAAAGCCAATGAGTCATTCCTTTCATAAGATATGACATACAGAATGGAAAATCTAATTTAATTATCTGAATCTTTATAATTTATTCTTTCATATAAGAAAAAGGAAACAAATTAACTGAAGTGTTATAAATAGAATTTTATTTATGGTGAATGTCTATATTTAGAGAGATTCTAGGGTTTATTACTTGGTGGCTAAGTCACCCTCTCCTATAAATAGAGGGTTCTATTCCATTGTAATTGATCCCAAAATCAATAAGAATTCCCTCTCTCTCCCTACTTTTCTCTGCAATACTTTTCTTCTTCTTTTATTGTTTTATAACACGTTATCAGCACGAGGCTCTAACAAATTGAGTAGAAGTTTTGGGATTGAGCATAATGATTGTCAATTATTCCATGAACTTCTTTTATGATTAAATTCTGGATTTCAGGTAAGTATTTTACTTTATTTTTCTCTTTTAAATTCTTGAAATTCTATAATTTGATTTTATATACAAGCAAAGACAACAAAGTTTGATTATAACTCTAATGGAGTTTGTAAGAAATTATAACCACCTGAAGTGGTAAAATTTCTATGCCCGCCATGATCAAATTCACGTATGATTGTGGGCAAAGAATTGAAAACCCGTCCCATTGAATTTGCTCCATTCTCATTCCATTAAGAGAATGTGATAGCAGTATGTGATAAGTCTGAAAGAAGACAAAATTATCACTATGAATGTATCAATGGATATGGACGTGGCAATAGACGAAATTATAATCGTCATCATTTGTGGTAATGAGAACAATAAGGATTCTCAAAATAATCTTTCACTCTGTGAAAAATATTTGTCATCGATTTGACGTGAGATTTTATAAAACACATATAGATGATTATGGTCCATTCATGATGTGAATGTGACAACATATGATTTATGAATATATATTCATTCTTCAAAGAATATGAACGTGCTAGTGGTAGTGAATATACCGCACTCACCTCTAAAAGGAGGTTTGAGATGATATAAGAAAATAATGTCATTATTATGGCATGAATGGTCATTGGTCATGTACCTATTGTACACCAAAATATTTTGGCATTGTGATTAACGGTAATGCAAGAAACAGATCTTGCATATAATTTTGACCATAACCTTAATGGTATAACTTTCTCTATAAAAGAGATATTCACCATATGGGTGTTGATGAATATGTGGTACTACAAAATTAATTGAGAACTCTGCAAGAGCCAATTATACTATTTTGGAGAAACACAATTAATTACCAATAAGGTATTGTGTTGTAATAAGTCTCAAAGAAACTTATTCAGTTTCCAAAGTATACGCGAAAGCGGTTGATTATATTGAGACTATAAATAAAGGAAAGATTTAGTATCTTCTATTACTACAACTTGTAGCGGGGTAATATGTATGTGAAAAGCTACCCGCTTTATTCTCCAATTTGTACTACATAAACAAAAGAATACCACAATGAAGTGGATATTTATTGATATAAAAACCCATATCATAATAAACTTGGAGTTTATTCATAATTGCACACATCATGGTGTAAACCTGAAGTTTATCAATATTGATAATTTATCCAGTTGGCATAATTGGTTTAGCCATGTTAATTCAAGTATGATGTGCAAAAATAAAAGAGGATTCACATGGGTAAATATTAAAGAACTAGAAAGTTCTTTACGAATTCTCCTACATTGCTTGTTCTCATTAATTAATAGACCAATTAAAATTGGGATTGAATCCCATGAATGCTCGAAATATCAAAGGTGAATATGGGCCCATTCACCTGCCATGTATACCACATAAGATGCATCTATGAGATGGTTACATGTGCGATTATTATTAACCCGCAACATGGTGTTTGCGAGGTAACTTGCTCAATAATTTAATTTAGAGCATAATTTCCAGATTTTTTTATTCAAGAAGTTCATCTTGATAAGTTGGTTTACATCACAGTCCGTTTAGCAAAATGATTTATTAAGTGCCTCTACTTAATAGCTAAACTATTGCTTATGAGAACAAAGTTATCTATATCAGTTTGATATAGGTTATATACGAAAGTATATTACATTCTCCCCTCACAAGTGGTTCAGGGTCAGGAACCAAATAATTCCATCTTATTATTATTGATGTGCGGTGTATATTTTAATTAACACCATAACGCACAAAGATGAGTTCTTAAAGTTGAGGAAACAAGTTAGTTTTTCTAACATGAGGGGGAGACATGACAAACAGTTGAGAAAAAGTTACATGGAATGAATTATCATGTGTACATCTAGATCCTCGAATAAAATAATATGAACTTGAAGTTCATAAAAATAATTCATTTGCAATATATTGCAAAGCATGCCAAACGCATTTGCTGACCCAAATAAAGTAACTATATTCTCGTTGCAAATGCTCATATTAAGTCCTAGAAGGACAAAGTCTATGGTACGCTTAAAGCATATAGACAAATCGGTTTCAAATAAACTTCTTGATAAAGAAGATGAGCAAATGATCAAAATGATCATAATAAAGGAGACAAATGATCTAGAAGATCACATGACATAACACTTCATAAAATCTCATGAGAGATTCAGGTACCTGAAAATATGAATGAAGAGATCTCTATGTCATGTCTTTATGAAAAATAAGGAGGTTGGAACCGATATAAAATGTTTGTCGACGACATCTATGATAACGCTAAATATATATATATGAGGATCTTAAGTCTGAAGAAACAATTCAAATAGAATTGGTTTCATATGAAAGACATGTAGTTTTGAACATGTAGTTCAAACACTTGAAAGTATAAAGTCAATGGTATGTGCAATCAGTTTTCAATATCTTATATGTCTAGCATGACATGACAAGACAATACATCTATCAGGGATGATGATTTCAAGGTGAAACAAATTCGTTGAAGTTAATATGGCTGATATTGTTTATCAAATATCTACCAAAGATCTTTTGAAGATGGTGCACAAGATTGGAATGCAAATGCTTAAGGATGTGAAGTGATGCTCTCATGAAGGGGAGTTAATACGCGTTGTACTCTTTTTCCCTTACAAGGTTTTGTCCCACTGGGTTTTCCTTGCAAGGTTTTTAACGAGGCAACCGAAAGGCGTATTATTAGATATGTGTACTCTTTTTTCTTTTCTAGAGTTTTTTCCCATTGGGTTTTCTTTTAGTTAAGGTTTTAACGAGGCACATTATCTATTGAATAGACATTCAAGGGGGAGTGTTATAAATAGAATTTTATTTATGGTGAATGTCTATATTTAGAGAGATTCTAGAGTTTATTACTTGGTGGCTAAGTCACCCTCTCCTATAAATAGAGGGTTCTATTCCATTGTAATTGATCCCAAAATCAATAAGAATTTCCTCTCTCTCCCTACTTTTCTCTGCAATACTTTTCTTCTTCTTTTATTGTTTTATAACATGAAGAACATATAACCTCGCATAGATTTACCTTCTCCATATAAATGAAAAATACTTACCCGCACCGGGTGTTTATACCAAACTATATTAACTCACTATGATTAATTAATTTAATTAGATGAGAATGCATATAATTTACCATGGTTAAATGATTGAAGTCCATATGCAAGACACATGTCATGGTTATACACAACTTTTACCATGGTTATACACAACTTTTCACGAAATGTATCTAAAACAATAGAACTTTGAAAGTTTTTAATTTAATATTTCCTACACCTGTTAAATTTTCATGAAATTGATTTTAAGCAGTCTCGATTTTGCTCCAACCCGCTCCGTCCCGTTGCCATCCCCGACTAGGATAAGATAACAGCACCCTTGATTGCAAAAATCCAAACCCAAGGAACCTTCCTAACATTACATAAGCCACAAAGTAGTACAGTATTAAATAACTACCAATATATCCTCAAATTCTCGCGATTATTTCATACCTAACACGCTTACCTTATCTTCTCGTAAAAACGCTACATTAGTTAATGATGTAAAATACCGAATTTGCCACGCGGCAACCCTCCGCTGTCTATCCACGGCCCGAGAGAATCTCTTAGCCCACCAAAGATGAAAATTAACTTCTAGAATTTTATTTTCTGGTTATTACCATGAAAATAAAAATAAAAAGAGAAAAGTCAAGATATTTAATTGGGCTAAAACTGGGGTCCACGGCCCAGCCACGCATTTCCCTCCTATATAAAGCGTCGTCACCTCTCATGCAAATCTCGCTCACTACACAGTTGTTAGTTTCACGTTCTCTTCTCAATTCCCATAACAGAAATCTTTACCGTTAGGTTTCCGTCCTATTTTTCTCATCTTCTCCGTTTCCTCTTCTGAAATCAATATCTGTATGGTGTTTTTCTTGTTCGAATTTTAGATTTTTTTTGCCTTTAATACCTGTAACATTATAATTCTCTGTTTAAACCAAAAAATTAGCTTCTTCTGAAGTCAGGGTGGGGATTTTTGGATCGTGTAAGAGTGTGTTAGAGGGTGATTATCTTTTGATTCAGTTCCTTTTTTGCTTCTTTTGAGGGGGTAGCCGGGGCCTCGGCCTCGGCGGGTTTTAATAGCCCCCATCTATTACAACCATTGGGCAAAAACATCATTAAATCTGTACAAAACAAACCCTTAATTTAGGTTAATTTTCTGTATTCTTTGATTCTTTTAACAGAAGAAGAAGAGATGCCGGCCCTAGGTTGTTGTGTAGACGCTGCTGTTTCCCCTCCTCTCGGCTATGCCTTCTCTCGGGATAGCTCTCTTCCCGCGCCGGAGTTCTTTACCTCCGGCGTACCTCCGACAAATTCCGCCGCCGCTTCCCATTGGTCTCCGGATTTGTCCTCTGCTTTGTACGGGGTCGATGGGTGGGGAGCTCCTTATTTCTCTGTTAACTCTAACGGAGATATCTCCGTCCGACCACATGGTACGGATACTCTCCCTCACCAGGAAATTGACCTTCTCAAGGTCGTGAAAAAGGCCTCCGATCCGAAAAATTCAGGTGGGCTTGGGCTTCAGCTGCCTCTTGTTGTTCGCTTCCCTGATGTGCTAAAAAACCGGTTGGAATCTCTGCAATCGGCTTTTGATCTTGCGGTTCATTCCCAGGGCTATGGGGCCCATTACCAAGGTGTTTATCCCGTGAAATGCAATCAAGACGGGTTCGTGGTGGAAGATATCGTGAAATTCGGGTCGTCATTCCGGTTCGGGTTGGAAGCCGGGTCTAAACCCGAGCTCCTGTTAGCCATGAGCTGTCTCTGCAAGGGCAGTGCTGAGGGCCTTCTCGTTTGCAATGGTTTCAAGGACGCTGAGTACATTTCGCTTGCTTTGGTTGCAAGAAAGCTCATGTTGAACACTGTAATTGTGCTTGAACAAGAGGAGGAGCTTGACCTTGTGATTGATATAAGCCGTAAGATGGCTGTTCGGCCCGTAATTGGACTTCGGGCTAAGCTCAGGACCAAGCATTCAGGCCATTTTGGATCCACTTCTGGAGAAAAGGGTAAGTTTGGGCTTACAACGACCCAAATTGTTCGTGTAGTGAAGAAGCTGGAAGAATCCGGAATGCTGGATTGCCTTCAGTTGCTGCATTTTCACATTGGATCTCAGATCCCTTCTACGGAATTGCTCGCTGATGGTGTTGGTGAGGCCGCTCAGATTTATTGTGAATTAGTCCGTCTTGGTGCGGGTATGAAGTTCATTGATACTGGTGGGGGGCTTGGAATTGATTATGATGGTACTAAATCATGCGATTCTGATGTCTCTGTTGGCTATGGCATTCAAGAATATGCCTCCACAGTTGTCCAGGCGGTTCAATATGTATGTGACCGTAAGGGCGTGAAGCACCCAGTGATTTGCAGCGAAAGTGGAAGGGCAATTGTTTCTCATCACTCAATTCTGATTTTCGAAGCCGTGTCTGCTTCTAGTACTCATGTTTCTTCTTCACATCTGTCTTCTGGTGTCCTCCAATCCATGGCCGAGACGCTCAATGAAGATGCCCTTGCTGATTACCGCAATTTATCTGCTGCTGCAGTTCGTGGAGAGTATGAGACATGTGTACTTTACTCTGATCAGTTGAAACAGAGATGTGTGGAGCAGTTTAAAGAAGGGTCCTTGGGTATTGAACATCTTGCTGCTGTTGATAGCATCTGTGACTTTGTATCAAAGGCTATGGGGGCTGCTGATCCTGTCCGCACTTACCATGTGAATCTGTCAATTTTCACTTCAATTCCTGATTTTTGGGCCTTTGGTCAATTGTTTCCGATTGTTCCAATTCACCGCTTAGATGAAAAGCCTGCAGTGAGGGGAATATTATCCGACTTGACTTGTGACAGTGATGGGAAGGTTGATAAGTTCATTGGTGGCGAATCAAGCTTGCCACTACATGAATTGGGAAGTAATGGCGATGGTGGTGGTTATTATCTGGGGATGTTTTTGGGTGGGGCTTATGAGGAGGCGCTTGGAGGACTCCACAACCTGTTTGGTGGACCAAGCGTCGTGCGCGTGGTGCAGAGCGATAGCGCTCACAGCTTCGCCATGACTCGCTCTGTCCCTGGCCCGTCCTGTGCGGACGTGCTCCGAGCAATGCAGCACGAGCCCGAGCTCATGTTCGAGACTCTCAAGCACCGTGCAGAGGAATTCTTGGAACAAGAAGATGACAAAGGGCTGGCTGTTGAATCTTTGGCCAGCAGCTTAGCTCAGTCGTTCCATAACATGCCTTACCTTGTGGCGCCTTCATCTTGCTGCTTCACTGCTGCTACTGCTAACAATGGTGGCTATAATTACTATTATAGTGATGAGAATGCAGCAGATTCTGCTACAGGGGAGGATGAGATTTGGTCCTATTGCACTGCTTGAAGTGTTCTTGTAGCATCTCCAGCCTTAGTTTGTCGTCGAGGTTGTCTGTTTTTGAATAATACCCTTAGTTGGTAATGTTTTTCTAATGTCAATTTTCTTTGTTTAGTTTCTTGTTTTCGTTGGTGAATTAAAGATGCAATAGAAAGCAGGGATTTTTCCCTATGGTCTGTTGCAGCTTTCTGTTATTGTAGTTTAAAGAGGAAGAGTGGGGATATGACCGAATCGATTTGATGTATGATTCGGCCTCTTCCTGTGTGATCTCCTGCTCTTTTTAATGCAGTTTGTTTTAGTATGAGTGTTTGTTATTCTCTCTCTTTAAAACAAAAATACCCTGAAAGTTGAAAAACCTCTTAGCATGGCAGCTTATGGTTAGGTGGTGATTCTGAGAATTAAGACTATTTTGTGGCTCAGTTTCCTTAATAATAATGTTCTACTAGTGCCAAAATGATTGTGGGGGTTCTTGCTCCAAAATTTTATGGTTTGAGTCAGTTGTGAAGTTAGTAATTTTCCCAAGGTTGTTCAAATTTTAAACAAGTGAAAAAAAGTATGTGTTATAGTAATATTTTACTTACATTCACAGCTTAATTTTTCGACGAAGGAATGTCAATTGACCACCCTTATGACCATGGTTTGAGTAACCTTGGATTCGAAGAATATAGCTCTACTTATGAAGAGTTTATCTATTCTTAGGACTCGAACCATGTGCTTTGGTTAAAATCCAACTCTCAGGACTACAAGTGAAAGAATCTCGATATTTCACAACGCTATTTGATGGTGTCATGCTTTAGATTTGATACGAATATTGTGGCTTTGAAACAGTAAAAGAGACATGTGATTTTGTCTATAAAGTCTTTCGAAACACAGTTTTGTAGTGGTTTTTGGTTTGTTACGTATTGCCCCGTATGTCCACAACCATTGCTTAGGAATGACGATAACAATTTTTTAGTGTTGTTTTTGTAAAGTCCTAGTATTTTTGGGTGAAGTGAATGAGATTCTGTTGAAAAAGGTTGAATCTTTTAATCAGCAAAAAGAGAAAGAAAAGGTAACATCTTCTTATAGTTGAAGCATCCTTATTGTGTTTTATCAAGAACGATGACAGACCAATATCGTCAATTTCATTTGTGGTTTATGGTTCACCACATCTTTATGGATAGGTATTCAATGTTGTTTAACTTAGTTTGCATGCAAAAACATGAAACATGTGTGATTGTATTTTCACACAAAAACTTAGTACTATATTTCTTTGTTGATTTGGGTGGTGCAAGAAGCACCTAAGCTATTGCTACGAACAGAGCTGGAACAAGAATTTCAAGCTTATGGTTTAGGGCTCGTTCTAAATTAGTAATTTGCATATATTCAATGATTTTTTAAAACAAATATAAGATTTGAATTAAAGCTACTAAATTTTGCCAAACCCGTAGTTAGCACTCTAGCTCCACCCCCGACTACAAAAACTCTTTGTTTACTAGTGACAGTAGTAGATGTGGCTCTTTGGTGGAGTTGTATCATTTAAGAAGTCTTTGGCACCTAGCGCCATGTTTAGAATTTCTTTTTTTCCTCATGTATTCGGCATTTAAAAATCACTTATCTGATTAATCCGAATCAGTCTTTTTATCAGGATATATTTGTTCTTAGGACTTGAACCCGTGACGTCTGAGTAAAAGTCAAGAGATCTTAGTCATTTGATTGGCGATGGTGCAATGGTTTACAATATGATATGAACATTCTGGCCTTTGAAACAGAAAAAGAGCTGTGGTTTTTTGGTTGGTAAGCCATATGGTTTTGTCTATAAAGTCTTAACTCAATTTCTAATAGTGGCTTTTGTGTGTGCTGATAATATATTGCCCCAGTATATCCACAACTATGGCTTACAACTGATGATAACAGATTTCTAGTGTTGCTTTTGTACATTATTTTGAGAAGTGAATAGAAAAAGGTAGTTTTTTTATTTATTTTTTTCAATCAGCAAAAAGTGAGAGAAAAGGGAACATCTTCTTATAGTTGACGATTCCGTTTGTGTTTTACATTGTTTCTTGTTTTCTTCTTCTCATATTTGCCTTTGATTCTTTTTAGGATTTTCTTGACTCACAAAAGACTATGTGGCTCTTTGGATTGTATGCCTCTTTAGAAAAGGACCAAAGAAGTAAATGTGAAGGGCTGTCTTATAATAAGGTATAACAGATGGGACTGTTTATATTTGGTTTCTGCCAGATTACAGATGGAATTAAGATTTCTTTTTTCCTTAATGTATATATTTAAGGGTGTGTGACCAAAAAGTGTTAAACCAATTAATGATGAAGTAAAGGGTGAATCTTAGTTAGATTAAATATATTCTAGATCAAATATTATAGGATATTTGCGAGATGAGTAATGTCCAGGAGTATTAAATAGCAGATTTAATATTCAATGATTATCAATGAGTATGGTGATATAAACATGCAATAAATGTAGATAATAACAATAAATATAATAAAAAAGGATCTACCCCCCAATTATTGTGTGACTGGGGTGTTCCTTTCTCGTGGAAGGATGAGAAGTGAAGATGGATATGGAATCTTTGGATCTTGTGAACAAAGATTGAGCAATGTGTGTTTCAATAATATAATCAGTAAACAAGACAGCTTTTGTATATTCTTTTACAGTCAACCTTTACAATGTGTTCTTATCAAAAAAGTGAGGATCTCCCTTTTGTTCTCTATCTCTTCCTATTTATAAGAGATATTCCCAAGAAACCCTAAAAAGTACAAAACAAGGAATATCCAAAGGAATATTCCTTGTGTCCTCATCTGAACCTATCTTACCGTTATTTCCCTACTTCAGCTGCTCGTCTTTGACAACAGCTCCCTCGAGGATGGCTTCCCGCTATTACACCATGGTCGACCCCGTCCTTGGTCCCATTTATCTATTATTACCAAGCCGCCAAATTTAGACCAATACAGTTAGTCACTCCGCTTATTGAGGTCGTGGTCCGGCACGCCCTCGATAAGCGGACCTGATTCGCTTTCGTTTAGGAGAAATTTGGTTGTGTCGAAATAGTCGGATCGATCGAGGACGAGAGAACGACACAACCAACGATGTTGTGGTTGGTGTGGCTATCGTGGGGTGATGTCATGGCCCCGCGCGTCATCATTACGCATCTTCCTGAGGCAGCGTCTATGCGTCTGCCGCTTTGATTTTAGTGCCATTGACAGTCTTTTGCTTCAATTCTCGCGCCACCCAACCTTATAAATAGAGAGGGGTTTCATTTTTTGGAAGCTTTCACCATCATTTACTTCGTGTGAGTATTGTTCTTCTCTGATCTTCTTCCCCAATTTCTGCTCCTGATTTTGCTTCTTCGATTCCATTCCCTTCTTTTTTACCTAGTTGTTATCTTCTTCTTCGGGCTTGGTATAATACGTTTCATTGTTGAAATATGTCATAACCCCCTCACACTCATGATGAAGTTTCCAATGCCACTTCGTAATCGGTAGCCCTTCCTCCTAGCGGTAAGGAATTCGTGGCTGAAGAGCATGATCGCTTCCCTACCACGGAGGAGATAGTTCCCAAAAACCCTTTGGCTAGGAATGATTTTTCAAAGGAGGCTGCTCCTGCTCTTGCTCAGGCTCAGGTGCTCTCCGAGACTGGACCATATAGCCGACCTTCGATCCAAATATCACATACCTTCCCACGTCGACATAGTTCCGGCCGGTGGTGACATCGTGGAGGTCCATCGACCCGGGTATTGTGCCTTCTATGTCTACCCGTTCTTGATTGGTTGTACTCTTCATCTCCTTTCTCTAGCGGAGGAATTTTTCCGGTTTTACAACGTCTGCCCGGCGCAACTCTCTCCTTATTTGTATAAAGCGTTCTTGATGCTGACGAAGTATGCGGAATTGGCTGGCTGTGAGGTTGATGTTCGCCACCTGCTGCACTTATTCTAACCTAGTTTTTATAGAGGCACTATGATACACCCACGACATCGTGGGACCAGAGGGTTAGTAGTCGGAATGGATGGTAGAACGAATCGAAAGTTCTGGCATAAGTACTTCTTTATCAAGACCGAGCACTTGGTGGTGAACCCGACTGTGTTTCCCGAGCAGTGGAATCATAATCGTAAGTGTCTTTGTCGTATGCACGTTATCTTCTTTCGTCCTTTTGTTTTCAGCTCACTTGTGGTTTCTTTGTTTTTCAGCTGAAAGGCATGCACCATCTCCTGTCTTCGATATTGAAGATTGGGTGGTCCGCGTGTTGCCTCACATGGTGGGGATTCGTGATTGGGCGACTTTCCACAAGCGTTTTGGACCTAAGGTCCCGTCTAGTAACTGTTACTTTTGCTTCAGCTTTCTGTTGTTTACCATTGCTCGTTGACGCGACCTCCCTTTGGTGCTAGGTCGGCGAATTTCCAAGAAGAAAGCTCCAGTGCCAGCATTTCGCCAAGACATCGCGTCGGCGGGGATGCAATTTGCTTTGGTCGAGTCTGTTCGGGGAGTTCATACTCAAGCTCCGCCGATGAGGGACTCCGCCCTCCAAATTGTTGCCGTGAGGGATGAGATCTCTTCTCGGCCCATCTATCATCTGGTAGACGAACCATCTAACGGTGAGGAGTCACCATCGAGAAAAAGGCGAAGGGTGGAAATCGGGAAGGCCGTTGCCGCTGACATTGAGCCGGAAAAGGTCATTGCTTTGGAAGCGACGTCTGCACCTGCACCAGACGTAGAAACCATTTTCACGGTGGATTTCTTTATGGAGATGAGGACCTCTAGGGTTGAGGGGGTTCGTGATGGCGGAGAGCTTGCACGGGCCGCAGAAGGTGGTGCATCATCGGCGGTTGGGGGAGATAGATTGGTGCTTGAGGGAGACGACGATTCTGGTTCGGATATTGATCCTGAGGAGGTACGGGCCTTTTTGGAGAGGAAGACTCGTGTGGAGGTAAGGACGAAGGGTCCTAACCGGCACATAATCATCCCCGTGGGTTACGACCTTTTGGCCAACTCAGAACGTGCGGTGTCGTCATTTGCTCCCTTGTGTACGGCTTCTGAGAATACGGCACTACAGTCGATGAGCGATGCAGAGTTGTCACTGAGTATATCTGGCATGGCTCTGCGAGTAAGTGCTTTTTAGTGTTAGGATTTGTTTTGCATGTGTAATTTGCTTATACTGACTCTTTTTTTTGAATGTCAGACTCTTATTATGGAGATCGAGCGTGACTGGCGAGAGGAGCGGAGGACGAGCGTCTTTAATAAAGTGACCTCTAAGTACAAGGAGTACCGTACTAAGCACCGAACGCTGGCCGACGTCTTTAACCAGGCTAACGAATTT